TTACTCTCTCTCTACTCTCTCTCTCTCTCTCTCTCTCTCTCTCTCTCTCTCTCTCTCTCTCTCTCTCTCTCTCTCTCTCTCTCTCTCTCTCTCTCTCTCTCTCTCTCTCTCTCTCTCTCTCTCTCTCTCTCTCTCCAGAAGCACCCTTGCCTGCTCTCAGGTCTCTCCCTTTGAGCGAGAGCGAGCGAGTGAGGGAGAAAGGCCACAGGATAATGGCTTTGAGAGAGAGAATGTGAGAGAGGCCCGATAGCAAGGGGAGATAAGGAGTGAGACCGAGACTAGTAGATTGAAGGGAGAGAGAGGCTCGAGAGAAGGCCAGAGTGTTTCTAGAGAGAGAGAGAGGAAAAAAAGCGAGCATAGAGAGAAAACGAGGTTGAGGGTACATCGGACCGAGGCTAGAACAGTAAGAAAAAAAAAAAAACACTTAACAGAACCTCCGAGGGGTTAAAGGGAAGGGGTAATATACGGTCCGATGTTTAAAACATTGAATTGTTAAAAAAAAAGAGAAAAAAATTGGGGTTATGTCATTCTAGGTAATAACGGGCTAATTTTGGGTCATTTTGTTACAACAAACCTTTAATCCGGTTCGTAAGTAAATTTCCCTTGATCATTTCAACCCGCATATTATTCGGTTTATGTGACCATTCAAGGCCTTATGAGAGCTTGTAATCAAATTTTATATAGTGGAACATCAACTCAGTGAGAGTGAAGTCTTTTATGGTCTACGATAAGAAAATGCTATTTACCGAAACTCAGAATTAGTTTGACATGCTAGGCAAGCTGGAAAAACCCTAAATGCTTGGGCATAGAATAAAATTGACGAGGATTTATGGGTTATCCCTTGATGATGCCGGAGTTGCCTAAGGGAATGAGACAAGGGACTATGTGACCCTTATGTGTGATGGTTGACCTCTAGAGACGAGGGCCAAAGCCTCATCACTAATCATCATACAATGCATGCATATGATAACCATATTGGGAGAACAAGACACTATTGAGGGTGCAATATGCACATGTGTGAAAGATTACCACTATACAACCTGGAGTTGTGGTTGCCTTCGGTCTTGGTGACCATGGGTTCATCTCTAGGAGAAAACCTGTAATCCATAGACCGAAATTATGTCCATTTACCTATTGGCTGACTTTGGTAGCTCAATCATGAACCTCTGTAGTCGTTTGTGGATCATAGGAACTACTGGGTCAGTTTAAGAAAGTAAATGTGAATTATATTCTACAGTAAAAGATGAAGTGTTTCGGAATTATTTACTCCTAAACTGAGGATCCTATTTCTATCAAAATTATTTGGTTTTATTTATTTTGATGTTAATTGATTTTTAGAATGATTATTTAAATTTTTAAAAATCTCTGAATATTTTATTTTTGCAAAATACATTTATAAAATGAGAAATATTCAATTTTCAGTTTATAAATAATAAAAAATAAATTTTGTTTCACAAAAACTAAAAGTCAATTTTACATTTTTATTATTCACATTATTGGTGTGGGCTCGTGACGGGCCCATCAAAACCCTATTAGGGATATGCATGGGGCGCACTGGGGGGCCTTAGGTGGCATGCCCCACTTCTGTAGGAGGTCCTTTTATTTTTGGACTCCTCTTTATTTTGGATATGCGTTTTATGAAATCCTTTTTGAAGTAGAATTCTAAATGGAACATGAATATGCCTTATGGAGTCATAAGGAGATTGGACTTCTAAAAGGAATATACTTAAGTATTTTTTATATCTTTTAATCTAATGGGATAAAAGTTTAAAAAATTGAAGGATAGAGTTTTGCATCATCATTTGAATCATGATGGTTGTTCTAAGAAATGAATGATTCAGATATCTCACTTTGCAGGTCTCTTAAGATCAATAAGACTGGATCAATTAAAGGAAAGACAATTCCCAATGGAACCCTGACTCCCTTGAGAAGTTCATAAATAGGGACCTCCTCACCTCTCGTTCTCTACCCTAAAATTCTCTCTCTCTCTCTCTCTCTCTCTA